GTTGCTATTTTCTATTTTAGCCATTCTAATAGTATATAATGGATTTTTTTCCTTATTTTGTTTTTAATTTGCATTTCCCTAATGATTAATGAGGTGAACATTTTTTCATGTGCTGATTTGCCATTTGCATTTCCTCTTCAAATGTCTGTTCATGTCTTTTGCCCATTTTGTAATGGATTATTTTTTTATAGTATCTTTTTAAGACTTGTTTATATAGGCTAGATACATGTGCTCTGTCATATATGTATTTGCAAATATTTTCTCCAATATATAGCTTAACTTCTCTTAACAGTTTTTTCACAGAGCAAAAGTTTTTAATTTTTGAAATCCAGTTTGTCACTTTTTCATTTTATGGATCTTGTAGTGTCATTTCTTAAAACCCTTCTAGTCTCAATAGTGAAGATATCTTCCATGTTTTCTTTTAAAAATTTTTGTTTACATTTTCTATTTAAATCTTTGGTGTATTTTAAATTAATTTTGTATAAGATATGAGACACTTAGGTCAAGGTTTTCTTTTTCTTTTTCTTTTTTTTCTTTTCCTTTTTTTTTTTTTCCCGAGTCTGTGTTTATCCATTGCTCCAGCACTATATGTGGAAAAGACTATTATTGCTTCATTCAGTTGCTTTACCACCTTTGTAAAAACAACAACAACACACACACACGCACACACACCAATTGGGCATACTTGTGCGGATCTCTTTCAGGTTGTCTGTTTTTTTCTATTGATCTATAGGTCTGTCCCTTTTACCCACATCACATTGTATTGTTTATTGTACTATATAAAAAGTTTTAAAGTTGTGTAGAATGATTACCTTCTACTTCATTGTTTTCTAAAATTGTTTCATCAATTTTAGTTCCTTTGCCTTTCTATATACATTTTGGAATAGGCTTGTTTCTGTCTACAAAAAGTCTTGCTGGGATTTTGTTAGAATCTCCAAACCTGTAGATCAGTTTGAGGGAAATCTGACATCTTTACTATGGTGAGTTTTCCCATCCATGAACATGGTATGTCTTCCATTTATTTAAATTTTCTGTGGTTTCTTTCATTAGTATTTTATAATTTTCAGCATACCAATCTTGTGTATGTTTTATTAGGTTTATACTGAAGTGTTTCATTTATAGTAGGAGTGATTGAAAATAGTATTGTGCTTTTAACTAAGGTTTCCATCTGTTCCTTGCTAGTATATAGAAATACAGTTGATTTTGTATATTGAGCTTTATATTCTGCAACCTTGATGAATGAGTTTTTTATTTTTTATTTTTGTAGATTCTTTTAGAATCTTCTATGTAACAACCATGCCATCTGGAAATGTGGCTTCTATTTAATCTGTGTGGCTTCTATATCCTTTATCTTGCCTTAGTGTGTCTGGCTAGGGTTTCCGGTATAATCTTGAATAAGAGTGGTAAGAGCAGACGTATTTGTTCTGTTTCTGATCTTCAGAGGAATTATTCAGTCTTTTACTGTTATGTATTGTGTTAGCTATAGGCATTTGATGTTTACATATTGAGTTTTCTACTCTATACCCTTGCTAAACTCAATCTTCTCTCTCTCTCTCTTTTTTTT